ATGATTGGACGTTATTTCCAAATTTCTAAGGAAAAACTACCGCATTACAGCTCTCAAAAATCCGAAATATACTAAGTCCAAAATGATAGGTCCAGTTTCGTCAGAAAGTTGCACATGTGCGTGAAGGCCGGAACGAGCCCATCGGGTACATTTCTTTAAACACAAATTTCAGCCAGAAATATTAAACATTAGAATGATTGTAACTTCCTTGCAAATTCTCAGTAAAAATTAACTCAGACTACGATCTGAAAGCGTTTCATTAGGAAGGAAAACTCATAATTCCGTTTGGAAGTTGTATGAGCCTCGCGCCGCGGCATCGCATCGGGTACACTTCGGGTACATTTCAAATCGCGCGGTAAAAGCCCGTGTCACACATCTTCAAGATGGCAGTCAAAATCGAAATGCGACCACCATTCTTTATCCGCCTTGGCCCGACTGGATAGGGAAGAATTGAAACTGAGTGAACTGAAGTTGAGCCGTGAGCAAGCAGTTGCGTACGTTGGCGCGAGAGTGCGCGGGGAGCGGGATTCCCATACCACTGCACTGATTGGCCATGCGAGAGTTGCGGACGGACGATGTACATTTAAAAAATTGCCTACGTGTAGGTGTTCCGGCAGCAACATACCCGCCACTAATAACTGGAAAACAACAGAAAATACTAGTTGCGTACGTTGCCTGCGAGCGCTTCTGTTTCAATTACCTAGCATTGAGCCGGGCCATGGACCAAGAGGCCGGGCCTCTAACCTAGAGTCCCTTTGTACTGAGAGTCAAGACAATTCGGCTCATAGATGTCACAAACGGGAATAAAGATTACAGAAATTGAACGTTTTTCGTAATCTTTGATCGGCCTAGAGTACCTGTATAGGGAGAGTAAGGACAGATCTGAAACTCCGAAAGTCCATCAGGCCTTCACCGATGCCTCCGCGAATAAAGTTAGGGCCCAAAAAGGCAGCCAACCTATGAATTTCGAATGTCCAGAGCGATTTACAAATACAATTGTTACGAACCGTCGTTTAGAAAGCATGCATTTGGCTTACTTTTTGCATAAATTTACTTATTTTTGCGAAAGAACGCTCATTCATGTACATCCTTAGCCATCTTGGTTAGAATCGAAATCTGTAGGCTGGCAGTGAAATTTTGGGTGTTAGAAGTTGCTCAGAATAGAGTACCTTTATAGACAGAGTATGGCCATTTCTGTTCCGGTTTTTCATTGGTCGCGTGAAAATAGGCTGACACGATGTTCTTAGGGCCGTACATAAACAAACAAGATGGCTGTTATCAGCAAGCAAGATTGAGGTTATGCACATCTTACATCCTCCTGTGATAAAGGTGAAAGGCGATTTAACAATGTTTTCATGTATTTTTCGTGTGCTATTCGTAGATATGCTAGTTTAAGTTGTTACTGCCGCATAATTGAGATTTTTGTGAAATTTAGCTTCTTATCGATGTTAAGGTGAGCCGCCATTTTGTTTGTTTATTTACGGCCCTAAGAGCATCATGAAGCCTAAAAACTCGTTGACCAATCAAAAAGCGGAACAGTTTTCCTGTAGTGAAAAGATACGAATGGCCATACTCTGTCTATAAAGGTACTCTAGCTCAGAAGGGTGGCTGCACTTTTGGGCCCTAAGCCCTCCATGAACCGATCTGTCCATACTCTCCCTATACAGGTACTCTAGATCGGCCCATTCTCAAATGCCTTTCTCCGTTCCTCCTCTCATTCCGTTTGTTCCTTGCCGAACCCGTAATTCCCTGGTCCATTCCAAAATATAATCTTTGCAATCGGTGAAACTGTAATCTTTATTCCCGTTTGTGACACTGTGGAGGCCTAAAATACGGGAACCAATCAGAAATGGATTCAAATTGTCTTGACTCTCAGTATAAAGGGACTCTACTCTAACCTTCTATACTCTCTGATTTACATCGATATATAGGTAGAGTACCTATACAGGGTTATCCAAAAGTCACTGACCACCCCTGTAACTTTTTTCCAAATTGAGATAGAAGTTTGAAACTTTGGCAATGATCCTCGGTCTAAAGCAGCAACTTTTTGGTCCACCCAAAATTTTGGGGGGCGGCCCCCCCTAAGGGAGGCAGGGGCTAACTTTTTTTATCAAATGGCAACCCCCCCCCTTCGTGATACCTCATTCGAAAGATAATAAGAAAAGTAAATTTTTGGCGCAAACCGCGAGAAATCAGTTTTACGGCTGTTAACGAATGGATTTGCATGAAATGCGATATCGATAATTTAGTGTTTCAAGAATTAATGAAAGATTTCTTTATATCCACCCAAAAACCACCAGGATATCGAATTTCATGTAAATCCGTCGGTAAGCAGCCGTAAAACTGATTTATCGCCCCTTTTCAGCCGCCATTTTGAAATTCATCGGAATTTCAGATATCCAATGAAAGATTCGTTCTTCTCGTGCCGAAATACCCCCGGATACCAAGTTTCATGCAAATCCAACAATAAGCAGCCTAAATATCCACTTCTCGCTCTAGGCCGCCATTTTAACCGCCGCCATTTTGAAAAGGACTGACTTTTCTGGAAAACCGATGCCAGAATCGTTTTTCTCGTCCCAAAAAACCCCAGGATTCTAACAAGGGGAGGCTACCGATTGTCCCCCTCAGATCGGGTTCAAATTTGGCCGAGAGGTAGAACAGGTTAATATAAGAACCCGTATTTTTTTTTAGGTGCCAATGCCCTGCCGTTTTTGAGTTATGAATTTTTGAAGTTGCCGTTTTTTCGTGTCAGCGACGCGCTCAAGTTGAGCCTACTGTGCACGCACCTTTTAATGCGATCCGAATGTCGTCGTGGTCATATGAGACAGTTGTCCAAGCGGTAGCGCGCTCGTCTATGGTGCTGCAGGCTCGGAGTTCGATACTTGTTCCGTGAATGTAATTTTTATAATTGATTATTTTGTTTTTTAATCGCCTCATCACAAGAAATAGTAAGTCACCTTGTAGACGTTATGATTCTAATTATTTTTTAAGTATATTTTAATTTTTATTTTTTTTTTTTATTGAGTGTTTGACAAAAAAGGAAAAAAAAACATAATTAGCATCACAACGTCTACAAGGTGACTTACGATTTCTTGTGATGAAGCGATTAAAAAACAAAATAATCAATTATAAAAATTAAATTCACGGAACAAGTATCGAACTCCGAGCCTGCAGCACCATAGGCGAGCGCGCTACAGCTTGGACAACTATCTCACATGAACTTACCGACATTCGGATCGCCTTAAAAGGTGCGCGCACAGTAGGCTCAACTTGAGCGCGTCGCTGACACAAAAAACGGCAACTTCAAAAATTCATAACTCAAAAACGGCTGGGCATTGGCACCTAAAATAAAATACGGGTTCATATATTAACCTATTCTACCTCTCTGCCAAATTTGAACCCGATCTGAGGGGGACAATCTGTAGCCTCCCCTTGTGAGTTTCAGACCAATCCGCCGATAAAAAACAGAGATGCCAAATTTCCACCATTTTGAACTTTGACCGGCCGCCATTCTGTCAAAAATCAACATTTTGACCTGCGGTTTGCGCTAAAAATTTTCTTTTCTTGTTATCTTTCGAATGAGGTATCACAAAGAGGGGGTTGCCATTTGAAAAAAAAAGCTAGCCCCTGCCCTCCTTAGGGGGGGGGGCCGCCCCCCAAAATTTTGGGGGGACCAAAAAGTTGCTACTTTAGACCGAGGAACATTGCCAAAGTTTCAAACTTCTATCTCAATTTGGAAAAAAGTTACAGGGGTGGTCAGTAACTTTTGGATAACCCTGTATTGAGAGAGTATGGCCACTGGGGTTACCACCTCTAATAATTGGCTTAGCCATCTTCGGCTGAATGGAGCCCTTAGGACCCAAAGATGGCGGGCGCCATAAATTAATTATAGTCCCTTTACACTGAGAGTCAAGACAATTTGAATCCATTTCTGATTGGTTCTCGTATTTTAGGCCTTGTCACAAACGGGAATAAAGATTACAGTTTCACCGATTGCAAAGATTATAATCTGGAATGGACCGGGGCATTACGGGTTCGGCAAGGAAAAAACGAAATGAGGGAAGGAACGAAGAAAGGAATTCGAGAATGGGCCGATCAAAGATTACGAAAAACGTTCAATTTCTGTAATCTTTATTCCCGTTTGTGACTCCATGAAGGGCGTTGTCTTGACTCTCAGTATAAAGGGACTCTAAAATTAATGTGATGCAAAATGACTCAAAATGTAGTTTTCTTTGCTTATCGTAACGAGAAATTTACTCAAATGCACTATTGCGAAATCTTTGCATATTTTTAAGGCTAATCGTGTGCAATTTTGAGAAAAATTATCTTAGATGTAGTAAGGTTGGTAGCAAGTGCGGTTGGTGATAACCGTAAAAGTTGGCAATGACCCCCCTCCCTATGGAACGCCGTTAGTGTCAAAACCCTTTTCTTGCGCGCGCGGAATTTTTTCTGGCGCGCGGAATATTATTTTTCCGGCGCGCGGAATTTTTTTTCGGCGCGCGGAAAGAAAAAACCCGTTTTCGATGAAAATCTCTGAATTTCCGGATTCCGCGCCGGTTTTCGATATATTGGCGCCGTTTGTGTCAAAACTATTTTTGTCGGCGCGCCGCTTCAAATCTGTTCCGCGCGCGGAATTTTCGATGTATCGATTCCTGCTCGCCGTTTGTGTCAAAACTATTTTTTCCGGCGCGGCGCTCCAAATCTGT